CCAAATTAGGTTTACTTCAATATTATAATTGTTCTTTTAGTTTATTATAAATAACTACAGTGTCAAGATTTATATGCACATGATTGTTTAGAATTAAATTCTTTAAATGTAAAAGGCAGTTCGATTAAAATCAAAAAGCTTTATAACATCTCGACTTATTTCCAGAAAATTATTATTTATTTAAAATATTTAACCTGAAAAATATAAATTATTTATTAGAAATAATTTAAGACACAATTTGTGGCAAAGACAATTCTACAATTTCTTCATGCAATCATTTTTGCTTTTTTAATAATTTTAAGAGTAAAAATGATTAAAGCTAGATTGCTAATTACTTGGCAGTTGCCATGCATCTGAATAATAAAACAACAACAAACAAATAAATCACAAGAATATCCTCTTGAAAAATACAGCATATGAACAGTAGTGGAATTCAAGTAGTTTAACAGCCAGTTGGTTATACTAGTGATTCTTTTAAATATAAGAAAACAACTTGTAACAATAAGTATAAAAAACAAACTTATAAATAAATTTATTTGAGGGTTTTGTGGTATTTTTTTGCACCAATTCACCCTAAAAATTAAAAAAACATATACAAAATACTAATTGCCAAATCCATGATGCACTTGAAAAAGCACTCTGTGCCCACATGATGGAAAGAAAAAAAAATGTCAGTTATGTCTAATTAATTGTAAATGTTAAAGTAACAAGTACTGAAAATAAATTTTTTCTATCTTGGAAGGATTCCTAACAAAATTATTGCTTTGTTGGTAAATCAATCTGTTCTTTTGATATTCTAAAAAGTTATTTTAAAAAGTACACATAAAATTCATTAATTTTTGAATGTTGTATATTTGAATTATTATTATTATATCCAGTAGGATTCTTCCACATGTGACCGATATGTTTTAAAACCTCTTGACAAAGTGAAAATTTGCGTAAAATAGCAAACCCTATTAAGTATTTCCTGTACTAAAACACCTACCACAAATTTTTTCATATAAGGCAAATAAACAAAATAACAAAATAGCATGATACTGTAAATGACAATAATAATTTTAAAAATTTTTTGAAAGCAGACTTTTTCTTTTCTCATTAAATAAAAAGTTTAATTTTTCCCTCTAAAGTAGGTACTTTGTCTTTTCTTTGCTGTTTTAGAGCTACCGGCGTCATTAGCATTGTTTTGGAGCCATATTTGAGAAGTAATTAGCACAAATGAAACAAAAAGGAGTACTGATGTCACAGACTGATGTGTTACAAGTGAGAACTCCAGGCAAAGACTGATGCAAGTCCCTCTGTTTAGAGCAAAACAAAGAAATAAGTCACAGTAATGCATTTCCAGAACAAGAATGAGTGAAATACTGCAATGAACCTTAATTGTACACTAAATTCATGCCACTTTTTAAGAATTTTATTATATATATTTTGATTATTTATTTATGTTTTTATTTTCTCCGATTCTTAATAGCATAAATCTGAAACAGCAAGTAATGATTTTGCATGGTGGGTTCCTACTGTATATATCTTTCAGTTTACAGATATTTTTAAAAACAGAACTACAAATATTCCTGAATTCCAGTACTTCCCATAAAATACTCAATGATGAGAAATTGGAAAATTTCAGAAACCCTAAGTGATACACAAAATCATCCAGGAAATATCTTTATTGTCCTGCATTTCCCATATCCAGATGTTTGCGCCTATGGCTTATCACTTTTACCCATGAGTTGAGCAGAAAACATCAATTGCTTGATTATGATAGGTGGTTGCAGATTAATTGCAGTCACAGAGCAACAAGTTCACACTTATACTTATTTCTCTAAATGCAGACTTTTGCAATAAATTGACTAAATAAATGTTATAAGTACAATGTTAACAGCTGTCTTGCCAAACTAAATATATTTTAGGAAGAAATTCTGCCAAACAAGTGCAAACCAGCTGAATCCTACTATTGCATATGAGCCTATGAAGAAAAAAATTTTTTAAATGATGATTATTATCACAATTTGAGTGTCTTAATAAATCAATACTTAAATAATATATTTTACATATTTATACAAAAAATTTGCATTGTTACATTTTGACTATTGAATATTGTAGTACATCCATTGTAGTACTTCATTGAATTGCTATATATAATTATTAAAAAAATAAATAAAAATAATAATAATGAATTTTTGTAATGTTTATTTTAACATGCTTTAATTTTCAAGTGAATATAATTGTGAAAACCGAACTTCTGTGTTAAAAGGCTATATGATATTTATTTTATTTATTCAATTTTCACAAAAATTTATTTAGCATTTTAATTAAATGATCAAGTATCACAGCAGTGTCCAACGTGCGGGCCGCATGCGGCCCAAGACAAGTTCCAATGAGGCCTAATAAATGTGTAAACAAAACCGACAAATTTTTTTATTTTATTTATTTATTTCAATGGCATAAATTCAAAAAAGAAGTTTCACAAAGCTGTAAACCTTTATACATATTTAATTTTTGAGAGGAAAGGAAATAATTTCAAATACTTGGAAATGTGTGAATGAGGAAGTAATACTAAATAAAGCTAAAGTTGAGACTCAAAGAATTATAGACCCAAATTCGGAAAGGAGAATAATGCCAAAAGATAAAAAGTAGTGAGACAGGTTACATAGACTTTCTGTTAAGCAAATATGGACCCTTAATTTCCCAAACCTTCCTCACTTCTTTATCTTTTGTCCTTTCTCTCCTTTCCTGCATTTGGGTCTATAATCCTTTGAGTCCAACTCAGGCTTTATTTAGTATTCCTTCCAGTGTTGCATGATTTGGCTACTTTGTGCCAAAGTTGGTTATCCTTTTTTTTTAGTTTGGCGTAAAAAATATCATTTGGTGCATTGGCTACTTTTTGGGCTACATATTATTTATAAATATATTAGTCGAATAAAAATGCACTTTAAAATAGTGTTTTGTCATTTTTTATTAATTAGAGACCCAAATAAAACAAATATTTGTGTTTTTCAAATACATTTTTGTTTGTCTCCTGTATAATAAATGATTTTTTCTATTTCTAAGTAAAAATTGGAAATGTCTGTAGAAGTAATTTTTTAAAATATCCTTTTTTGTGATAAAGATTTAATACTTATTACTGTAATCTAGACATGTTAATCCTTGAATATACAAGCATATTTAAGGATTGGGCCACAGTATATTATATATACTTGTGGCCCAAACCTCCATGACATCTTCCAATGTGGCCCAGAGAAACAGAACGGTTGGACATCCCTGAAGTATCACTTATATTAGGACTGAATGATGTTCTAGGGCTGTTATTTCATTTTGGCTCATAAAGTAGATTTAGATGAAATAAAACATTATAATTTAGACAGTTAAAGTAGAGAAAGCATGATTAAAAAGTTAGACAATTATAATAATATAAAACTTAATATTTAAAAAAAGATCCTCCAAATGAAATATTAATTAATTTCAGTATAAATTTTAGGATTTTCTTTATGAAAGATTAATGTATCTGCATTTTAAAAGATGTGAAGTGTACCTTGAATATGATAGTTTTTATTTCCTTATCAAATGTATAGTTTATGAAAACTACTTTTACAAAATCATATTCAAATTTTGTTATTTTAATCAGAATAAAAATAAAATCAACTGATGCTCCAAATATTTATTTAAATCTGAAATTTTTTCAGGTCTTTTGGCTTATTTTTTTATCTGTAAAGTTTATTGTATTTTTTAAACTAAATTGATCCAATAGAGTTCCATGATAGATAATTTATGAATTCTTTAATCTTCAGTCTTTTTTTAATTCCTAAGTAAAAACATAGATTATCTATATTTATTTACACTATTTATATTTATTTAAACATTATTTACATTTATTTATAAATTAGTTCTCTAAGTTTTTAACAATTTTAGAGTTATTTACTCAATTTTTAAAATTCATATGCAATGTACAATTGAAAGTACAGTATACTTAACTTATTTTGCATCATGCAGTCATGTACAGGTAGTAGACTTGTTTACATAAGGTAAGCTATCAATATTATAAAAATAAATTACTGCAATTTGTTTACTATTGTATTTTTATAGATCTCTTGGAATAATAATATTTTTTAAATTAGAATGTTATCTTCATAGATTATGATCCTGCATTATAATTAAGTTTACAGTATTTGGCTGTTTATTAAAATTAAAATAACTGTTTAAAACTAAATAATAAATAATCATATGAAAACTTGAATATATTTTATAACAGTAATGTATAGTTAATTGTTGTATGAATTAAAATAATCATTGATAGCCTTTTAATCAGAAATTTAAAAGAATAGTGGTTAAACAGTGTACAAAGTTAAATTATGTTTATATTGATTAAATTAAATTTAGCTGTTAAAACCATTAAAAATTGCTAGTTTGGAATATCATTTTTGGTTTTGCAATATGAGACGTAATGATTTAAAATACTGATTATATAAAATTCTGTTTATCTTTGATCTTTTCTATTATTATTATTTTTCCTGCTAATTATAATTTTTTAAACAAATATATATCTGATTTATTTTTAATTGGTATTTTTATTGTCTATGTAATTTTCCTCTGTACAAAATTCAACATAATATTTTCATTGTCTTTTTTTTTTCTGATAAATAAAAATTACGTAAATTTCAAAACTTGCTAATCATTATAAAAATTTTTTCGAATTTTTATTTGAAATAAAATTAGATTTTTAAAGTTTAAAATTGATAAGGAATTAACTATAAATGATAATTTATTAAAAATATAATTTCTAAAAATTATTACTGGAAATAGGAATTAGTTATTTAATAGTTATTTTCTATAAATATGTAGAATGCAATTAGAGATATAGGTCTATTTAACAGCCTAATTCTAGAGTATTTATAGCTGATGACAACAATATATACCAGTAATATAAAAATTAGGATAAAAATGTGTATGAAGTAATTAAAATTAGTATATATCTTTCATTTCAATTGTTAATTTTATCAACAAAGCTATATTTAATAAATGAAATAAAAGTTGATAAGCTGTTTTTAGTTATAATGTATTTTTCTAAAATATGACCTCCCCCAAGCAGAAATAAACCCTTCCTGACTTAGATCAATACACTGCAGACTGTGACGCAATAGCTAATGCACCTTTTCATGGCTTCATTCATTTCCACTACAGGCATTCTGAAATGTTATTTTCTCCTTGCTTATAGCATTTATCCTTTGGTAAAAACTTTTGATAAACAAATAGTTTGGAAATTCAAACATTTTATGTAGAAAAGTAAGTTGAGAAGGATTGTTACAATTTTGAGGAAAATTCTGAAAACATGATTCAGTCACATATACTTTTTCAACGAATGAAAGGTCTAAATGTTCCTAAACAGAGACCGTCTGTATTTTGGATTGATTCTCTGAAAGCTTTATGGAATTTAGTTCACCATCTTCATTAAAGTATTAAGAAATGTCAGTATTGAAAATGGATAAAGTAACTAAATTTACAATATGGAATGTTTTTTAAATTTTGTTCCCATTCAAACATAAAATAGTTGTTAAATGGAAAATGAATGGAAATTGATTGAAAAATATACTACCTCCAGAAAGCCTTTTTTTATTATTTAAAAAATGGCTTTTCTGTCACCCAGCTTTCAATGTTGTGCCCATCGTGGATGGTTTGGATCTATTTTAAAGCAGTGTGATGCACCAGATTGTAAGTTTTGTTATTTTTATTTAATACAATTTTTATATCTAATGTTGATGTGTACAGGTCTACAGTTAGATTAACTCATAAGAAATTATACATATTTGAACATCTATTTAAATTATAAAATTAGTGAATATTGTTGGTTTAGATTTGAATTTTTGATTGCATGATATAACTTGCATGTTGCAAGTTTTATTTTTATTAAGAGCATTTTATTTAGTAATGTTTTGTTAAATTTATTGCATTAGTAATATTACTTAATTATTTTATATTTCTTACCTTTTGGCAAATCCTTTTAAAGATATAGTTTTCTTAATATGCAGTTTTTAAAATCTTCAATACAGATTTACATTATAAAAATTATAATAAAAATTTAAAGGAATACTTGATGTTTAAATTACATAGACTATGCTTTTAAAGATAAAGAATTGAAAATTATTTTTGTACACCACTTCAATTAGAAACAATATAAAATAATTATCTGGCTTTATTTATTAAGTATATTTATTAATATTTATTTATATCACTTTATTCAAAAGGTCTAAAAACTGATTCAATTTATTCTAGACCAGACTAACTTCTTTGGACTTGAAAATAGTTAATAATTTATGAAGATGGGTGGAAAAAAAAATGTTTGACCAATAGCTTTATAGCTACTGGTCAAACATTTTTTTCCACTTATCTTTATCTAATAATAGAACTACATTTTACTAGGTAAATTATTTGTGAAATTCATGTGTGTATAAATAAGTTGTTCTATTAAATGTTGTTAATAAATTTTTTAAACTAAATTCATTTAGTGGTGGTGTTGCATATTGTGTATTTAAATATACTTTATATGATGAGTAAATTTTATTTAGAATTTTTTAACTAAAGTAATAGAAATGGGTAATAACTTTTTGTATCTTATTGGTGGACAAATTAATGGAAAAATTAAGTTTTTGTTTTTATTTTAGGAGTTTTAGAAAATATATGATTGTATTAAAAATGTTTAAATAACATTGATGGTTTGGATATTTAATATTTAGTGTAAATAGAAAAATCATTAATCAGATAAGTTTCTGGTAAAAACTTTGATCTTTTAAGTTCAAAAACTTTTTAATTATAAACTGTTAGAACTAGATTTTTTTTGAGAGTTTATATACATTAATAAAATATTTTAGAATACATATCATCATAAGTATAATTTTCAAAAATTTTTAAAATAAAAGACAAAACTTTTTAAATGCAGGAACTATTCTATTCTTAGCACTGGGATGAAAATAACGTCACACTATCGGAACCTGTGACCGGTGCTCTATCAAGTTTGTCAAGCGATATTTAACATATATGCATAGAGCACCGGTCACAGGTTCCGATAGTGTGACGTTATTCAAAACTTTTTATTATTCTCTTTTATAAGTAAATGTTTTTAAATATATGATGATCTGATTTATGAACTAAATAGGAATTAGCTGTATGAATGGATGAATTGGTAATAGAAATTCTATTTTGGAAAGCTTTATTATTATTTATCATAGCATAATTAAATTAAACATTATATTTACTAAATTAACAATTTATTTTTGGAGTTTCCAAATAAATGCTTATAACTACTGTAGCTCATTAACAATTAAAAATTTAATATAAATTATCTTCATGTATACATGTACATCATACATACATGTACACTTGTATACGTGTACAGTTAGATACATGTACACATATGCGGTGACTTATAAAACTATTTGTAAGGTAAAACTTTATTCTATAAGTGCTTATAACAATGAAAGTATAGGAATAATTTTACAGATATTTTATTGAAATTAAGAGTAATTTATTAATTTCCATATTTTGAAAATATAAATATTATTCAATGTGTTTTAATAAAAACAAGATTTAATTAGAATTGTCCTTGATATTGCTCACAAAAGTAATCATACACAATCCTTACTCTTGTATATTTCTGTAAGAAAATGGAAATTATTAAAAATTAGGTATTATAACTATTTAAATTAGATCAGTAGTGTATGATATTAAGTTTCAAATCAAGTTTTGAAATGGTAGAAAAAGCAGAAGTAATAACAGTAAAAAAATTTTATCTTAAAACTAATTAAAAAAGATAAAACGTTTTTTAAACTTTCTGAACTAATTGGAAGATCCTTTAGTGCTGTTCATAAAAAATCAAGAGATTTTTTTTTTAAATTATAAAAGCAAATTTAACATATTTGGCTTTGAGAATGAAAAATGGTGTTAAGAAAACCCAGAAGTGATATTGAAATGAATCATCTAAGATCTGGCCCATGGATGCCAACTCTTAAGGGTCCAGAATCTATTAGGTCCTTCCTGATAACATTTTAAGTGGTGTTGGGTTGTCTGATGATAAAAATTTTTATCCTTTAACTTTGGGGCTTGGCAGCACTTAAAATATTATTGAGGCCAAATGTGTTCTAGCTTAGAGTTGGTGCCCATATCTAGGCTTATAGTTGTAATGGAGGATCAGTTTTAGTTTGAGAATGCATGTCTGTATTTGATATTGGAAATATGTATTTATTGATGGAAATTCCAATTGAAGATTATATATAGAGATTGGCAAAAATAATTTGTTCACAACCATTAAAAAGTAAATTTTTAGCAGATAATTTATTTTCTGGCAAGGCATTCACTCAAAACACACTGGGAGATTAGAATATGATTGCTCTGTATTGTCTCATTGTTTTTACAGTTAGCCTAATCACCACATCATAATGTAATAAAACATTTATGAAGTCATTTGAAAAACTAAATTTGGAAATATATTTGTAGCAAGAACTTAAAATGTTCTTAAGAAAGGCATGGAAAAATGTTCCAATGGAAAGTTATAAAAAGATAAATCTTTTCAATGTTAAAATGATTTAAGCCATTATTAAATCTAAGGATTATTCCACTAAATATTAAATTTTGAATACATAAATGAATTATATGCTCATTCTGTTGAAAAAATATTTACTGTACAAATAATATTGTGAGTGCAGTTAAATACAGATTCTAATGAACACTAATTAAATGATGATGCCATATTCATTGGGCTATAACTTGGCTAATTATTGTAAATATATATAAAGGAATTTGGACTTGTATAATTTTAACAATATAATTTATGTAATTGTAACAATATATATAAAATTTGTAATTTGGAATTAAAAGAAAGGTAACTTAATTGCCTTACCTTTCGTTCAAATTATCAATACTTTATATATACAGGATGTCCAGCTTATAGTAGGTTTAATAAAAGAAAAATTTATAACTTGCATTGTGTTCACATGCAAGTTATGAACATGAAATGAAATCGATGTGTGTCAGTCTTTATGTTGGCACTTTTGGCCATTTGTGAGAAATACCATACCTTGATGCTGCACGTGTACTGAATGGAAAATAAGTGCACGTTAATGAAGGACTAGGAGATAAGTCACAGTGACTGGAGAAAGTTATTTGGACATGCTGAAACTTAAGCAATCCCTCAACTTCCTCCTGTCACTATTTTGCAAAAAGATGTGGCTCCTCCCCACTTTGCAAGTTAGATAAAACAATTTCTGAATGAAGTTTCCCAGACAGTAGATTGGTCCTTACCATATGGGAAACTTTATTCAGAAATTGTTTTATCTAAATTGTTATGAAATCTTATTCAAGAGAATCCACTGTTTATTGTAATAATGTTCTAGTTAAGGATGGACAACTATTTTAAATGACAGGGCAAATCAAATATGAAAGTGCATATACAGGGGCCAAATTTTCTATATTTTTATGATTTATCAGTCAATCAGGTCAACAAGTCAACTGCAATTGACTAATTGATTGAATGCAAAGGCAAAAACAGTCAAAGGAAGTATTGGTGTATAGTAAGAAATCTAGCAAGAATTTGCATAACTTTTCTGTCTGTTATGAGATTTTATTTAAAAAATAACATTTATATGATTAATTTAATCATATTAAAAAAAAGTGTGTATGGTGCCATCTGTTATGAAAAAAGTGTACATATGCTCAAAACATGCCAGAAAATAAATTATCTGCTAAAAATTTACTTTTTAATGATTGTGAACAAATTATTTTCGACAATCTCTATATATAATCTCCAATTGGTATTTCCATCAATAAATACATATTTCCAATATCAAATACAGACATTCATTCTCAAACTATAACTGATTCTCCATTACAACTATAAGCCTAGATATGGGCACCAACTCTAACAGATGGCACCACACACACTGTTATGAATTTTTGTTATAAAAATCTTTTTGTATTATCTATATCTATATTTTTTGTATGGGGATTGATTTCTTCGAAATATTAGATGTAATAAAGACAGACATTTTTCCAGTTTAACAAAAGTGACTGAAAAGTTGTAAAGTTTGGAAATTTCCATGGATACCTGGTCCTAAAACAAATTAGTTATAAAACAAATGACAGACAATCATAGATTTTTACAGCTATGGTGAGAAACGTTTAAAATTTACAATCCTGTCATGTCCTTTGAGGTATACTGGTGATGTGACAAAAGAGACATTTGACATTGACGGGTATCGGCATCCTCAAGATTTGGCTGCCCACGTGCATGCATGCATGCACTGCACACCTACCAGGACTGTCTCCGATTCCATTCATTAGCCACTCGTAGGGAGCTATTTCACTAAGTGGATTGTTTTAAGATTTAAAAAGTAAAGAATATTTTGTTATTTTTATGTACATTTCTTTACAAAGTTATATTTAACTAGCAGGTAGGCATGGTGTTGCTTGGGCAAAAGTAATGATAACTAAGATTAAGATTATTATGTTACAGTCACAGAATGCAAGAATTGGGTCCCCTTGTTTCCAGACTAATTAGAGAATTTTTAGATGGTTCTAAAAATATGTTTTATTTCCTGCAAAAATGAAAAAAACTGCATCTGTGTCTTGCACGTCGCTTTCTCTTAACAATTCCATTGTTACTTAAAACTTTCATTGTTACTTAACACTTCCATTGTTGATGGAAGTGTTAAGCCTTAATCCTGTCCCTCTCCCCGTGGAGGGAAATTTCGAAAAATTCCTTCTTAGTGTTCGTTTTCGTGACGTACCCTAACTGTACCAAATTTCAACTTTCAACTCCTAACCGTTTGGGCTCTGTGCTTATTATTATCATTATCATTATCAACTTGTCTCGATTATATATATAGATTATAAGTTTCTTTAAAAGTATATTAATACAATTGAAGAATATTTTGTACCAGGTATGTATATCCACAACACATTTTATTTTACCAAGTAAGTTTTTATAATTTTATTTTTAATTTTAGCCCTTGTATTGTAGCTAGCGATTCAAAATGTAATTGTTATATTGAAAATTTAGTTTAAAAAGTTTTGGCTCGAGACCATATAATGAAAAAGAAAACATTATTAAAAGAGAAAGACCAATGCCTAAATTAAACATAAATACTTCAATAAAAAAATTTGTTTGACATTTTTACAATAAAATTTATGAAGACATAAAATGGCTTTGTGGATGAATAAAAATGCAAAAATTGTTTTGTAGGCCTTGCTTACTATTTTCAAATAAAATTACTGTGTGGAATAAGAATGGCTTTGACGATTTAAATAATTTGGGTAAAGCTGGCAAAAGACATGAAAATCGTAAATGTCACATTGATTCTTTGATAAAATTGAAGTAATTTGGAAATCAAAGCAGAACAGAGTTTAACATTAGTAGACAATTTAAAATAAATATTGAAAATTATAACAAGATAATTACAGCTAATAGATATAACATCTATTAATTTAAATATAATATATGTTTTTTCTCAAAGCAAGAATTGGCATTTAGAGGGAATCTATTGAATCTAATAACAGAGGTAATTATATTGAACTTGCTTATTTATTAAGTATGTCAGATAATCTATTAAAAATACATTTAGAGAAGTGTACGGTTTTTACTGGCTTATCGAATAAACGAACATGAATGGACCCTGACGTGCAATTAACTGGTTGCCCCTGTAAGTCAACTTCTTACAGAAACACAGCTTCATCATCAAATGTCACGCCACGCCACTGTTAAAAAGGCTCTGTACATCCAGAATATTTAAAGCTCTGTATATTCATAGCTTAATCATTGACAGTATTTAATACCAAATCCTAGCAAATCACAATCTTAAGTTACATTTCAGGGTACTTTACATTAGTACTGCATATGATATAATTGGCTAAATTATTGCAATTATCCAATGGATATATTAGAATGGCAGGCATTTCATTTGAGTAATGAAGGGTGAAGTGACAGATTGCCTGCCTGAATGGCAGGTAGTTGAGAGGATTATGCAGTTAGTATTTGAGAGGACTCCAGATATATAGTATATAGTAATACGTCTTTTAAGCATATATTGTATCTGTTAAGCTTTGAAATTTTAGGCTAATATATTTTATTTAGTATATGATTTTTATATATGTGAGTTTTTAATGTTACTGAATGGACAAAGATCAACATAAATCTAAAGATTATTATATATATATATATATATATTAAAANTTATTGTAATTTTTATTTACAAAACTTTTATTTTTTATGTAGGTGAATTTGCTAATAATCTTCCAGACTTCCAAAAAATAGAAATTATGATGTTTATCATGAACAAAGTGCCATTACTTATGGATGATTCTCATGAAGCAGATGTTTTATTACAACATATTTTATTAAAAAGTTTGCTGAAGGTAAGAAAAATAATAAATTTGAAAAAATTGAAAATGTTTGAAATGTGAAGTAAAGTTTCAGTACTCTCTCTCTCTCTTCTATTTTAAAAATCCTAGCCCAAGATTTTTAATATTTTTAATATATATGATTATTTACCTTTATTTCAGAGGTTATAGAAGTTAAATGAAATAGGTTAATCATAAAACAATAAATAATCATAGTTTATTATGTCTTAATAAGATTACATCATATTAAAAATACAATAGAAGTTTGTTAATCTAGCACCTATGAGAACAGAGTGGGCCAGTATATTTTTGTAAAATTCATTAAGTGACATGCAATTTAAACATTGCAGATGTTGCTGTACATTTTGTACTAGCTGATGCTGTTATATGCTTCCCATTTGTTTATACATACTCTTTATTCAGTATAAATATGATATAGTTCACGACTATATTGTGTTAAGATTGAAAAACCTGCAAAATGCTAATGAACATATTATTGCACAGAATCAACATTCACAACGATTCATGTTCATATAATAATTATTTTCCAGACATGTAATGTCTACATATGATTCATAAAAGATACACATGCTTCAAGTAGAGAAATTGTTTTTAAGTCTGTTGTCCTGGAATTGGCGTGTGGAAAGGAGAATATGTCAGTCATGCATATTACCTAACACAAAATGATTGCTAACAAGCTGTTTAGTGTACATGTGTTCTAATAAGTTCTGATTTGTGGAGTACTAGAATGCTGGACTATCATCAGACAGCTTGTATTATTGGGTGCCAGATTAACATATAGTGTACATTATAAAATTTTTGTAAAATGCACTGGTAATATTTATATATACATATAATCTATTTCAGGTTGTTGTGGTTGCTGTTCTGCTCTTAGACCTAGATATCGAAGATTAGTTGATAATATCTTTCCTGCAAATCCTCAGGTATAGCAAATAATTAAAATTATTATTAAGTTTTTAAACATGTAGGAATGTTTTTCTTAAATTAATTTAAAATTTTTTAATTAACTATTTTGAATTGATTTTAATATTTTTCAACTCTGATGACTTTAACTTAAATGAGAAAAATAATTAACAATTATTATTCAATTAAAGTTTTTATTAATTCGTTAAAATAAAATTTTTACCAGTTCAATCAATGCTTAAATAAAAATGAAAGAAATTTTAAATGATTTGCATGCATAAACATTAAAGTACTAAACATAAAATGGATCTTTTATTTACTATAATAAAAGAAGCACTGATACTGTATTTCTTTAAATTTATTAGAACTTTCTATGTATCATATGAAAACTAGAGTTCAGAGGTGGATTCACAGGAGGGCTACAGGGGCTTAAGCTCTCCATGTTGACGCACAAAAAATTAAAATTTATTTATTCATGACATTCAAGATACTTATATTAATTCAAATATTTTTAATTTTTGAGTTAATCCCATTTGGGTTCTTCTGGATCTGGTAATGTTGAGATATTAATTAATACAAAAGATTATCATTAAAAATATTAAGTGAATAATCAAAAATATTTTTACAAATTTAAGTAAAATAACATGTAATTAAACAGAAAATTAATTATATGCACTGTTCCTCAAAAGTTTTATATAAAAATAATTTTCAAATTTAACAATTTAAGGTTATTTAACTAGATGTTTTGTTCATTATTATAAGAAATTTATTTTAAAAAATGTAAAATTACTTTAAGTAATTTATAATTTAATGGTATTTAGGATGGATTGGTTCGAAGTAATATGGAAAAACTTACATTTTATGCCTTATCTTCACCTGAAAAATTAGATCGTATTGGAGAATATCTTGCATGGAGAGTTTCAAGAGATATTTCAAGGCATAGAAATGGGTATGTGACAGAATTTTAATTTATGTTAGATATCATAACCTATTTTGCACATTCCTGGCATTTCAAGAATGGATCTGGGATCTTTGTCATTTGTAATGACCCTTCTGAGTACCACTTACGCTCTTAGTCAATAGAAATCACATCCCACTTACAACCTAGAAAAGATACTCTCCTCATTCCATACATTCTTATTAGATCAAAACTATTGTTAACCTGTATTTCTTTGTACAATACCAAAACAAAGATACAACAATCTTTTTCTAATATACATCTCTTGTGTCTCCACTTTTATAAAATAAATGTAAATGCTTTGTATTCTTCCATTTAACTTTTGTAAATAACATGATTTCTTCAAAACTGCTCATAGATAGTCTTTCAATGATGACTTCTCTCTGTTATTCTCATAGCATTACTTTTACTCTTTGAGAATGGGTAGTCACAAACTTTTCAACACTTTTCATATATTTTACATTTAAATGTGTGTAAATAATATAGTAAGTTTTAAAACTTATTAAAATAAAATTAATCTTATAATAATAATAATTTTATTTTTATAGTTTCTATNGCGATATTTAACATATATGCATAGAGCACCGGTCACAGGTTCCGATAGTGTGACGTTATTCAAAACTTTTTATTATTCTCTTTTATAAGTAAATGTTTTTAAATATATGATGATCTGATTTATGAACTAAATAGGAATTAGCTGTATGAATGGATGAATTGGTAATAGAAATTCTATTTTGGAAAGCTTTATTATTATTTATCATAGCATAATTAAATTAAACATTATATTTACTAAATTAACAATTTATTTTTGGAGTTTCCAAATAAATGCTTATAACTACTGTAGCTCATTAACAATTAAAAATTTAATATAAATTATCTTCATGTATACATGTACATCATACATACATGTACACTTGTATACGTGTACAGTTAGATACATGTACACATATGCGGTGACTTATAAAACTATTTGTAAGGTAAAACTTTATTCTATAAGTGCTTATAACAATGAAAGTATAGGAATAATTTTACAGATATTTTATTGAAATTAAGAGTAATTTATTAATTTCCATATTTTGAAAATATAAATATTATTCAATGTGTTTTAATAAAAACAAGATTTAATTAGAATTGTCCTTGATATTGCTCACAAAAGTAATCATACACAATCCTTACTCTTGTATATTTCTGTAAGAAAATGGAAATTATTAAAAATTAGGTATTATAACTATTTAAATTAGATCAGTAGTGTATGATATTAAGTTTCAAATCAAGTTTTGAAATGGTAGAAAAAGCAGAAGTAATAACAGTAAAAAAATTTTATCTTAAAACTAATTAAAAAAGATAAAACGTTTTTTAAACTTTCTGAACTAATTGGAAGATCCTTTAGTGCTGTTCATAAAAAATCAAGAGATTTTTTTTTTAAATTATAAAAGCAAATTTAACATATTTGGCTTTGAGAATGAAAAATGGTGTTAAGAAAACCCAGAAGTGATATTGAAATGAATCATCTAAGATCTGGCCCATGGATGCCAACTCTTAAGGGTCCAGAATCTATTAGGTCCTTCCTGATAACATTTTAAGTGGTGTTGGGTTGTCTGATGATAAAAATTTTTATCCTTTAACTTTGGGGCTTGGCAGCACTTAAAATATTATTGAGGCCAAATGTGTTCTAGCTTAGAGTTGGTGCCCATATCTAGGCTTATAGTTGTAATGGAGGATCAGTTTTAGTTTGAGAATGCATGTCTGTATTTGATATTGGAAATATGTATTTATTGATGGAAATTCCAATTGAAGATTATATATAGAGATTGGCAAAAATAATTTGTTCACAACCATTAAAAAGTAAATTTTTAGCAGATAATTTATTTTCTGGCAAGGCATTCACTCAAAACACACTGGGAGATTAGAATATGATTGCTCTGTATTGTCTCATTGTTTTTACAGTTAGCCTAATCACCACATCATAATGTAATAAAACATTTATGAAGTCATTTGAAAAACTAAATTTGGAAATATATTTGTAGCAAGAACTTAAAATGTTCTTAAGAAAGGCATGGAAAAATGTTCCAATGGAAAGTTATAAAAAGATAAATCTTTTCAATGTTAAAATGATTTAAGCCATTATTAAATCTAAGGATTATTCCACTAAATATTAAATTTTGAATACATAAATGAATTATATGCTCATTCTGTTGAAAAAATATTTACTGTACAAATAATATTGTGAGTGCAGTTAAATACAGATTCTAATGAACACTAATTAAATGATGATGCCATATTCATTGGGCTATAACTTGGCTAATTATTGTAAATATATATAAAGGAATTTGGACTTGTATAATTTTAACAATATAATTTATGTAATTGTAACAATATATATAAAATTTGTAATTTGGAATTAAAAGAAAGGTAACTTAATTGCCTTACCTTTCGTTCAAATTATCAATACTTTATATATACAGGATGTCCAGCTTATAGTAGGTTTAATAAAAGAAAAATTTATAACTTGCATTGTGTTCACATGCAAGTTATGAACATGAAATGAAATCGATGTGTGTCAGTCTTTATGTTGGCACTTTTGGCCATTTGTGAGAAATACCATACCTTGATGCTGCACGTGTACTGAATGGAAAATAAGTGCACGTTAATGAAGGACTAGGAGATAAGTCACAGTGACTGGAGAAAGTTATTTGGACATGCTGAAACTTAAGCAATCCCTCAACTTCCTCCTGTCACTATTTTGCAAAAAGATGTGGCTCCTCCCCACTTTGCAAGTTAGATAAAACAATTTCTGAATGAAGTTTCCCAGACAGTAGATTGGTCCTTACCATATGGGAAACTTTATTCAGAAATTGTTTTATCTAAATTGTTATGAAATCTTATTCAAGAGAATCCACTGTTTATTGTAATAATGTTCTAGTTAAGGATGGACAACTATTTTAAATGACAGGGCAAATCAAATATGAAAGTGCATATACAGGGGCCAAATTTTCTATATTTTTATGATTTATCAGTCAATCAGGTCAACAAGTCAACTGCAATTGACTAATTGATTGAATGCAAAGGCAAAAACAGTCAAAGGAAGTATTGGTGTATAGTAAGAAATCTAGCAAGAATTTGCATAACTTTTCTGTCTGTTATGAGATTTTATTTAAAAAATAACATTTATATGATTAATTTAATCATATTAAAAAAAAGTGTGTATGGTGCCATCTGTTATGAAAAAAGTGTACATATGCTCAAAACATGCCAGAAAATAAATTATCTGCTAAAAATTTACTTTTTAATGATTGTGAACAAATTATTTTCGACAATCTCTATATATAATCTCCAATTGGTATTTCCATCAATAAATACATATTTCCAATATCAAATACAGACATTCATTCTCAAACTATAACTGATTCTCCATTACAACTATAAGCCTAGATATGGGCACCAACTCTAACAGATGGCACCACACACACTGTTATGAATTTTTGTTATAAAAATCTTTTTGTATTATCTATATCTATATTTTTTGTATGGGGATTGATTTCTTCGAAATATTAGATGTAATAAAGACAGACATTTTTCCAGTTTAACAAAAGTGACTGAAAAGTTGTAAAGTTTGGAAATTTCCATGGATACCTGGTCCTAAAACAAATTAGTTATAAAACAAATGACAGACAATCATAGATTTTTACAGCTATGGTGAGAAACGTTTAAAATTTACAATCCTGTCATGTCCTTTGAGGTATACTGGTGATGTGACAAAAGAGACATTTGACATTGACGGGTATCGGCATCCTCAAGATTTGGCTGCCCACGTGCATGCATGCATGCACTGCACACCTACCAGGACTGTCTCCGATTCCATTCATTAGCCACTCGTAGGGAGCTATTTCACTAAGTGGATTGTTTTAAGATTTAAAAAGTAAAGAATATTTTGTTATTTTTATGTACATTTCTTTACAAAGTTATATTTAACTAGCAGGTAGGCATGGTGTTGCTTGGGCAAAAGTAATGATAACTAAGATTAAGATTATTATGTTACAGTCACAGAATGCAAGAATTGGGTCCCCTTGTTTCCAGACTAATTAGAGAATTTTTAGATGGGTCTAAAAATATGTTCGATTTCACAGAATGCAAGAATTGGGTCCCCTTGTTTCCAGACTAATTAGAGAATTTTTAGATGGTTCTAAAAATATGTTTTATTTCCTGCAAAAATGAAAAAAACTGCATCTGTGTCTTGCACGTCGCTTTCTCTTAACAATTCCATTGTTACTTAAAACTTTCATTGTTACTTAACACTTCCATTGTTGATGGAAGTGTTAAGCCTTAATCCTGTCCCTCTCCCCGTGGAGGGAAATTTCGAAAAATTCCTTCTTAGTGTTCGTTTTCGTGACGTACCCTAACTGTACCAAATTTCAACTTTCAACTCCTAACCGTTTGGGCTCTGTGCTTATTATTATCATTATCATTATCAACTTGTCTCGATTATATATATAGATTATAAGTTTCTTTAAAAGTATATTAATACAATTGAAGAATATTTTGTACCAGGTATGTATATCCACAACACATTTTATTTTACCAAGTAAGTTTTTATAATTTTATTTTTAATTTTAGCCCTTGTATTGTAGCTAGCGATTCAAAATGTAATTGTTATATTGAAAATTTAGTTTAAAAAGTTTTGGCTCGAGACCATATAATGAAAAAGAAAACATTATTAAAAGAGAAAGACCAATGCCTAAATTAAACATAAATACTTCAATAAAAAAATTTGTTTGACATTTTTACAATAAAATTTATGAAGACATAAAATGGCTTTGTGGATGAATAAAAATGCAAAAATTGTTTTGTAGGCCTTGCTTACTATTTTCAAATAAAATTACTGTGTGGAATAAGAATGGCTTTGACGATTTAAATAATTTGGGTAAAGCTGGCAAAAGACATGAAAATCGTAAATGTCACATTGATTCTTTGATAAAATTGAAGTAATTTGGAAATCAAAGCAGAACAGAGTTTAACATTAGTAGACAATTTAAAATAAATATTGAAAATTATAACAAGATAATTACAGCTAATAGATATAACATCTATTAATTTAAATATAATATATGTTTTTTCTCAAAGCAAGAATTGGCATTTAGAGGGAATCTATTGAATCTAATAACAGAGGTAATTATATTGAACTTGCTTATTTATTAAGTATGTCAGATAATCTATTAAAAATACATTTAGAGAAGTGTACGGTTTTTACTGGCTTATCGAATAAACGAACATGAATGGACCCTGACGTGCAATTAACTGGTTGCCCCTGTAAGTCAACTTCTTACAGAAACACAGCTTCATCATCAAATGTCACGCCACGCCACTGTTAAAAAGGCTCTGTACATCCAGAATATTTAAAGCTCTGTATATTCATAGCTTAATCATTGACAGTATTTAATACCAAATCCTAGCAAATCACAATCTTAAGTTACATTTCAGGGTACTTTACATTAGTACTGCATATGATATAATTGGCTAAATTATTGCAATTATCCAATGGATATATTAGAATGGCAGGCATTTCATTTGAGTAATGAAGGGTGAAGTGACAGATTGCCTGCCTGAATGGCAGGTAGTTGAGAGGATTATGCAGTTAGTATTTGAGAGGACTCCAGATATATAGTATATAGTAATACGTCTTTTAAGCATATATTGTATCTGTTAAGCTTTGAAATTTTAGGCTAATATATTTTATTTAGTATATGATTTTTATATATGTGAGTTTTTAATGTTACTGAATGGACAAAGATCAACATAAATCTAAAGATTATTATATATATATATATATATATTTAAGNACTTTTTGGGCTACATATTATTTATAAATATATTAGTCGAATAAAAATGCACTTTAAAATAGTGTTTTGTCATTTTTTATTAATTAGAGACCCAAATAAAACAAATATTTGTGTTTTTCAAATACATTTTTGTTTGTCTCCTGTATAATAAATGATTTTTTCTATTTCTAAGTAAAAATTGGAAATGTCTGTAGAAGTAATTTTTTAAAATATCCTTTTTTGTGATAAAGATTTAATACTTATTACTGTAATCTAGACATGTTAATCCTTGAATATACAAGCATATTTAAGGATTGGGCCACAGTATATTATATATACTTGTGGCCCAAACCTCCATGACATCTTCCAATGTGGCCCAGAGAAACAGAACGGTTGGACATCCCTGAAGTATCACTTATATTAGGACTGAATGATGTTCTAGGGCTGTTATTTCATTTTGGCTCATAAAGTAGATTTAGATGAAATAAAACATTATAATTTAGACAGTTAAAGTAGAGAAAGCATGATTAAAAAGTTAGACAATTATAATAATATAAAACTTAATATTTAAAAAAAGATCCTCCAAATGAAATATTAATTAATTTCAGTATAAATTTTAGGATTTTCTTTATGAAAGATTAATGTATCTGCATTTTAAAAGATGTGAAGTGTACCTTGAATATGATAGTTTTTATTTCCTTATCAAATGTATAGTTTATGAAAACTACTTTTACAAAATCATATTCAAATTTTGTTATTTTAATCAGAATAAAAATAAAATCAACTGATGCTCCAAATATTTATTTAAATCTGAAATTTTTTCAGGTCTTTTGGCTTATTTTTTTATCTGTAAAGTTTATTGTATTTTTTAAACTAAATTGATCCAATAGAGTTCCATGATAGATAATTTATGAATTCTTTAATCTTCAGTCTTTTTTTAATTCCTAAGTAAAAACATAGATTATCTATATTTATTTACACTATTTATATTTATTTAAACATTATTTACATTTATTTATAAATTAGTTCTCTAAGTTTTTAACAATTTTAGAGTTATTTACTCAATTTTTAAAATTCATATGCAATGTACAATTGAAAGTACAGTATACTTAACTTATTTTGCATCATGCAGTCATGTACAGGTAGTAGACTTGTTTACATAAGGTAAGCTATCAATATTATAAAAATAAATTACTGCAATTTGTTTACTATTGTATTTTTATAGATCTCTTGGAATAATAATATTTTTTAAATTAGAATGTTATCTTCATAGATTATGATCCTGCATTATAATTAAGTTTACAGTATTTGGCTGTTTATTAAAATTAAAATAACTGTTTAAAACTAAATAATAAATAATCATATGAAAACTTGAATATATTTTATAACAGTAATGTATAGTTAATTGTTGTATGAATTAAAATAATCATTGATAGCCTTTTAATCAGAAATTTAAAAGAATAGTGGTTAAACAGTGTACAAAGTTAAATTATGTTTATATTGATTAAATTAAATTTAGCTGTTAAAACCATTAAAAATTGCTAGTTTGGAATATCATTTTTGGTTTTGCAATATGAGACGTAATGATTTAAAATACTGATTATATAAAATTCTGTTTATCTTTGATCTTTTCTATTATTATTATTTTTCCTGCTAATTATAATTTTTTAAACAAATATATATCTGATNGTTGTTATTGCAATGGAGGCTATGGATCAATTGTTGATGGCTTGTCATGCTCAGAGTCTGAATTTGTTTGTGGAAAGTTTTTTAAAAATGGTACAACGCTTGCTTGAATATCATGCACCCGAAATGCAGCTTTTAGCCACTCAATCTGTAAGTTTTTAATTTCAGTTTTAAAAGATTGTGTAAAAATTTTTCTTTTGATATTCATAATTTGTTTGTTTATAAATTATTTTATAGTTTATTAAATTTGCTCATATTAAAGAAGATACTCCCTCTTATCATCGTCGCTACGATTTTTTTGTTTCAAAATTTTCTTCCCTTTGTCATAATAATCATAAAGATCCTGATATAAGAAATAAGTAAGTTTACAAGGAGTATTTTTATTTAATTTCTAAGAATTGTGATTTTAATGATGATTTTGTACATTTTATAACATTCTGTACATTTGACAGATTACGAGTTGCTGGACTAAAAGGGCTTCAAGGAGTTGTAAGAAAAACAGTTAGTGATGATTTGCAAGTCAATATTTGGGATGAGGCTCATATGGAAAAAATTATTCCTTCCCTTTTATTTAATATGCAAGATCACTAGTAAGATTTTAAATGATTATTGTTTAGCTACTTAAAATTCATATTATATTAATTTTAAAACAATTGTTTAACCTCTAAATAATTTTATATTATGAATTTCTATACATTTAGAATACTTTTATATTTTAAAAAACAAAAATAAAATTTTTGCTCTTAAACATTTTGATTAATTTCAATTCCATTGTCATGCATAGTTAAGTAAAATGTAATAAAAAAACAGTCCAAAATTTGCTATGTAGTCAGTCAAATTTTGGACTATTTTTATGATTAAAATAGAAATTTGTAGGGAAATGTTTGAATGTAAGCATTTCTGTATGTGTTCTGAAATATGAATAAGAAGAAATTTCTCTGATTTTATAAATTCTTAGAATTTATACAAAAGTGTTGGCAGTCAAATGTCACTAAACAAAAAGATGCAAAATCAAAAGCACACTTAATGGCAATTTCACAATAGATACAATGAACAATGAATGTCTTTTGGCATTAAAGATTCTTTTTATTTAACACAAAATTAAAAAAACAAGCACTTTCAGCAATGCATTACCATCTTCTTTAGCCAAATTATTTAGAATGGAATGTTGAATGTAAACTTTCAAACAAGAAATTCAAAGAGAACATACTGTGAAATTTTTCTGACATATGTAAATTCTTAACAATCTTTTTAAAATCTCTACAACAGACTGAGTACAAAATGAACTCAAATTGACACATAACAAATTTTGAATTTTGGAATAAATTTTAAATGTGTGTAGCTAAAATGGCACAAATGTTGGGTTTAAAACTATAGTGGCAGACCATGTTATATAGCCACAAGTTAAGTTCTGAGAGATTTGAAAAGTGACATCCAAATTTCTAGGATGTCTAGCATGGACCTGTTACAGGTGTTCATAATTGATACATATAAAGATTCACAGATAAATATGGTTCACCTTTTCACATTGTTGCCGTAATGAGGCTTCCAACTATAAGGGTTTATAACTATGTTCTAACACATTTCTAGTAAGCTTGGAACATCTATTATTCAAAATGTCCTCTTGATGCTCTGCTAAACAGTTTACAAGTTTCCCAGTAATGGCACTTATGTAATATAGCTTTGAACTTGTCTACGAATGTTGCATTTGGAATTGTGTACACCAACCTCACCAAGTTTGAATACCTATCTCTATCATTATAGAGGATTCTTTGCAAGGATAACTGCAGCTTGATGGGTAAGGTAGCTTTTTGTTTTTTTGAAATGGCTTTAGTCAAGTTGCTTACTACTTTAATTTCTTGCTCTGTCTTTGTGGTTTCATCTGCCTTAGAAGCTAGGATTATTATTGATAATGTGGTTGGATGCTTACCATCATGATTTTATTATCTCTGTAAATTTGATGATGATGCTTTATACCATTTAGTACCTTATTTCAGTGCTGTTACATCTGCTGCTCAAGAAAGGGTTAGTGTCCAACAGGTATTGCATATATAAGAGACCCTTTTGTTAGTGCCAGGAAATAATTATTTTTGTTTTAATAATGAATGTTACCAACAAAAATAGGACATGTCTATGGGCACTTCTCTGTAACTCAGCAAGAGTACTGTACAGTTTAATCAAGAAGTTTGGTAGCATGCAACTTGATATTAAATAACAGAATAATGATAAGAGGTTCAAAATGTTTAAATACAATCAAGTATTTAAAAAAATTACATAAAGAGATTGCCTATGCCAGAACCTTTCATTTATGCTATAGAAGAAATTCTACAATTTATAGCCTTCTTGGGAAGGTATAGATCCACTAGAATGTCAACATCTCCCATGATATACAATATTCCAATCAAAGATCATAGTTTTAATACTGACTTAAAATACATTGGTACAACCTCTTGTTTCGTCTTTGTGAGAATTAAGGAACATGAATTAATTATAAGAAAAAGGCATCCTCCTACTGCACTCACAGCCTATGCAATGGATAATGATGCGGAGGTCAACCTGCAAGAGGGAGGATTTTGAGACCAGCCCATGAAATAGCTGACCTGAAGTATCTAGAGTGATTAGAAATATACAGAATTCTTTAAGGGCAAATTCATCAACTATAAAGCATAAACACTGATGGAATATCATATGCATGGAGATCAATTTATGAAATCTCTTAGCACATAACTCTGTTTATTCTTGTCCTAATGTGTGATGTGGTTTTTGTTAATTTATACCTATTGTAATCTACAATTGTATCATTGTAAATGTTTCCGCTGGTTTTTAAGTTAACCTTATATGTAAAGATTGAAGGCATGTTAAAATTCACCAATTGTGGGTATGTTTCAAAATTAAAAAAAAAAAAAACTCTTAATTTGTTTGAAATGATGTCATTTGAACAGCCTGATGGTGGTTATTAAAATATGGTTGAAAATTTTAGTATGATTAAGTTTTTGGTTTAAAGTGTTGGAATTTAAAGGTTTTATAGCCTTTCTTAACGCTTCCTCCAGTTAAGTTTTTACTATAGAAATATAACTGTAAAGACTGCTTGCCATGCCAACTGGAACAATTCAGTACACACAGCCCAGTCAATATTCCCAACCAGTTAAGGCTTCATTCAGGCATCAGAGCATACTAAATAGTTAGTATGCATAGCAATGATGAATAATTAATTACAAATGGTTTACCTAAAGCGCAAAGACATTCGGCAGAACACTGTTGAAAGTGAACTGTCCATAACTATCATTGTCATGTACTAAAATCAACATAACTACATCCAATTCTCATGAAATAACTTTCAAAATACCAATAAGATACTACATATTTCCGTTATGATTGCAAAGAAATACCATAATATCTTGTCTCCAGTTCAAAACATAATGAAACAAAAAATCATAACTATCATTGTCATTCACTATGACCTACATCACTATATCCAATTCTTTTTAAAGAACACAGCAAGCAGCATGCATGTCGAATACCATCAAAAAGAGTCGAGCACGGATTCTGGCAATTCCTAGGTTTGCCACTATGCTTTGCTGGTGCTCGATACGCCGACAAAGATTAGCCATTTTTTCAGTTTTATATAGTAGATAGATAAAAATAGTAATAATGAATTCCTATTACAAATAAAAAAAATAATATACTGAATTATATGGTAATAATATAAAATATATATATAATAATTTATATTGTTAATTTAAATAATAGCTAGGGGTGCCCCTAGTGTCATACCGTGACAGAGACTGCCCAGTTTTTCAGTTTTATATAGTAGATTGGTGCAACTAGGGTTCAGTATGGTTATACAGGGTGTCTGTAAAGTCCGTGTGCAATTTAAAAAATTTATAACTATTAGTATTTCTGATAGAAAAAAATCTGTGAAAAGTATTAGGAAGCCTAATGTATTGTACCTAGTTTTAAGTAAAATTATTTAGTAACTCTTCAACACAATAATTTAACAATTTTTGAAAACTTTAAAAATACTTCTTTTTCCAAATTACGTATGACCCGTGGCTTCAATCGAAGAAAAACTAAACTGTGTCCTTTGGTTGGCTGAAGTGAAATCTACTAAAACTCGATCGTTAGAAGATTTGAAAGTTAAAATAACTAATGTGATTTCAGGCATTACTGTAAATCAATTGGTAAATGTTTTTAGAGAACTACAGAATCGTATTATCCTTATTACTAGTGATGGTGGCCATGTGGAAACTTAATAAAATACAATAAAACAATAAAAACATAATGAATAGGTTTTCATATTTTCAATACATTCTACATAATTTCTCTATCACAAATACTAGTAAAGTTATACATTTTTTAAATTGCACACAGACTTTATGGACACCCTATATTTCTTAAATTAATTAATTGGCAAGAGGTCCTGGTAGTGTTATAAACAATGCAGCTGTATGGTAAGCTAAGCAAAAATTGCAGTATTTCAGATCAATCTGTTTTCCAGAATAGTCTTAATTATTTATTTGAATTCAAAACAAATGTAATTATTAAATTCAGTACAAGATGGTATCATAACAATCTACTTAAATCCAAATTACTAGCAAAATTAAATCCAAAATATTTATTAGCAAAGTTTTAGCTTGAAAGCTAATGTAGATATTTTCTTCCAGAATATTCTAAATTAAATTTATTTATTTCTAATTATTAAACTTAAAACAAATGGCAACTTAATTGCCTACCTGTAGCCAAATTAGTTAATAATTATTTAGCCTTAAGTATATTGGTAAAGAAGCTGGCCATTTATTTGATACTTAAATTAATTATTGGATTGGTTGCATATGAAATTCAATATTTTTGGGTTATTTTCATAAATATAATTGCTAGTCATTTTGAAACATTTCAAAAGGATTCAAATTTTAATGCAAAGTAATTATCTAGCTTTCTAATTTTTATCATTTGTAGTAGTCAACCAACCGAAACCCCAGATTCCCCGCAGGAAGAAACTAATCCTTGGACACTTGCCGAGAACTGTTTGAGGGAATTAATGGGACGAGCAACTTTTGGTCATGTTCGTTCTGTGATGAATCCTGTTCTGAAGTAATAATATAAAACACTTTTATACGAGAAAAATAACTTTTTCATATTAAGATGTATGATTGATTTTTTTCTATGTAGACATTTAGATAATCATGATCTTTGGGTCCCTAATGATTTTGCTGTTCACACATTTAAAATTATCATGTATTCAATTCAGGTATAAATAATTTTCATTTATATTTAAAGAAAAACAAGAAAAGATATATAATACATTGCTGTCATATTTAAATTCAATATTAATATTCTGTTTTTGAATAGGCCCAATATTCTTATGCAGTTATTCAAATACTGATGGGACATCTTGATGAGAAAACGAAAGCAAATGGCTATCAGAGAAATAAAAATGTTAGCAAGTCTCGAACAGATTCTAAAACCTGTACAGAGACCAAAGTTCGTACGAGCATCGTGAATGTGTTATCAAATATTGTTTCAATAGCTGCAGGAGAAAGCATTGGTGAGGAAAAATAACAAGTTTTATAAAACTATAAATAAATATATTTGAATCATTGTTCATGTAATGCATATTTTTAAACTTTTAATATTTTTAACTCTTTTTAGCTTTTAATATGTTTAACTTTTTTTAGTAAAAAGCTTTTTAGCAGAAACTTTTTACTAAAAAACTAAATATTGTAAGTGTAATATTATAAGTTTTAAAAAAATCTTTTAAAATTATTATAGTGACTGTGAACTTTTATGTTGACCTCATTTATTTTATCTATTGTTACAATTTATATTGACAAAATCGTAGCTTATCTTATGACCAATTAACGTTTCAGTTAATTAGTTGTCATATTTGCAAATATACAGTTTATTTAAGAAATGAGTGCTCTGTTATTATTGATGCATATTTGTAATGCATGTATTCAAGAAACTGTCTTTAAAATCATTTATTGAATTTTTCAAAACTTTTCATTTCATATTTTTATTTCAAATTTTATGGCTAAAGATTATATATAGTTAAAGTTTTCAAATATAAATTCCTGATTTATTTTAACTGAAAATAGAGTCTCTAACTAGTTTTTAATTTTTTTAAACAATTATCTCCAATTTCTAATGATATATTTGCATTTAGTTTTGATGTTGATTCAATAGTTAACATTGATAAAATGAAAAAAAGTAATTTGTAATTTACAAGTTTTTATGAAGTCACAAACAAGCACATTTTTAATGTTTCTTGATTATGTTGAATTTGAATAGGGCAAATACATTACCATTTTAATTAAATCATATATTTTTGAATTTTTGTAAAAGAAATTATATTTATCAGAAATGTTAAAAATAACTTTTTGATGTTTTAAAGTAGCAATTGAATTACAAGTTTGAAGTCTACTTATATGAGTTCAGTAACTACATTTCAATCTCTTACATTGTAACTGTCATATAAGTTACTACATTCTTTAAAGTGCATTCTTTTATACAACAAATTGTAAAGTTGGAGTGGATGATCTTTCAGAATGAATTGCTTTTTAAAATGTTTTCATTTTTTATTTTTAAGTGTTTTTTATATGCAAATATTTCTTTTTGATTAAATTAAATTATTCTAGCACATTTAGTAATTATTTATTTTTATATCTAATATTGTAAAATAAATTTATTATAATGAAAATAAAGAAGTGTATTATAAAAGTAAATTTTTTGTTAAATGTTTACATTGCTCTCATTTCAGGTCCGTCAGTTTTAGAAATATTTAATTCGTTATTAAATCATTTGAGACGATCTATTGATGTTCGAACGACTAACGAAGCCGATTTGCAAGACGAAAAAGACTTTCAGGATGCCGTCATTAATACTCTTGGTATAAAACAGTTATTGCTGTTGTTAATATTGTTATAATAAAAATAATAATATATATTATTTATTAATATTATAGTGATTTTTAGAATCTAAATTAATGTAAGGCATAATCTGTAATTTGTGTATGTTTAAAAAAATTTAACATAGAAAAAATGGTTTGTATCTTTAGCTAGGTAACTATATTTTTACAGTTGTTTTAAAAATAAAATAATGTTTGTTGTTATTGTAATTTTTATTTACAAAACTTTTATTTTTTATGTAGGTGAATTTGCTAATAATCTTCCAGACTTCCAAAAAATAGAAATTATGATGTTTATCATGAACAAAGTGCCATTACTTATGGATGATTCTCATGAAGCAGATGTTTTATTACAACATATTTTATTAAAAAGTTTGCTGAAGGTAAGAAAAATAATAAATTTGAAAATAAAAGAAACTTAATAAAATATTTTCTTATTTATTTTATTTATGTTCTTTTAAATTGATAAATATTTGAGTGTAAATTTTCTTTGATTTTTCTCCTTCTCTATAATTTTTTTATTAAAGATCTAATTGTCTAAATTTTTTAAAACTTATTGTCTTATGAATGCTAAGAGGGTCTTTTTGAAGTCCACAATGGAAATGATTAGGTAGTGAGAGACTGGGCCCAGCATATTCAAGATAGATCATTCCAGAAAAATTCAAGGGGTTTTATTGATCTGCCTGAATTTGATTCTGGGTCTCTCAGATTGATAATTATAAAATTTATCCATATTTGTTTAGAAGAGTGTAAGTTTATTGGCAATTAGAAAGAAAATGTTAATATTCTTATATCCACTATCAAGCAGTAGAGATTTGGGCACTATTATTATTTAAAAGTCTTTTATTCCTGGGAAATTGGGGTTCAAACTACTGATTTACAGGTGCAAGGGGAATTTCTTGGAACAGAAACAGCAAAGTTGTTTCCTTCACAGTCTTCATTTCAGATGAAATTCCTGATTTTTGCTTTCTGCCTAGACTATAGTGAAGTTTTGCTGTATTATATTTTAATTTACAAGTTGTTCAATTATAGTATTTGGAGATTATACATTACAGCCATAGGCAGGGAGGAGACTTTTGGGACTGAAAGTTATCTTCGAATTTTGGAAGAAGCCTACTACCAGTAGCAAAATGACAGCTGGAAGTCAAGACAGCTTAGGTGTCGGCTGTTAAATTTAAGAAATAAGTTCCTCAAAAGAAAATTTTGGCTACAGGACTGACACATTACATCAGTGTTTCCCAACCTTTTTTGTTCTATGCTCCACCTAAGCCTTTCTAAAATTTTTATGCCCCCCAAGCCTTTCTAAAATTCTTATGCCCCCCTAACATATATAGCGGCTATATGGTTAACTTAAACTCTGGACAAGTCCATTTTCGAATTGCCCCCCTTAACAATCCAATTGCATCCCTGTGGGGCGTGGGCCCCACGTTGGGAAACACTGCATTAGATTATTTTGTTGCTGTTACTATTAACTTCTTTTATTAAAGAACTACAAAAAGTAGCACAGGAAATTAATTATATAATTACTTATTTTATATAAATTTAAAAAATAAAAAATTTAATAATGGATATCTAATCTATGAGATCTACTAAGCTGATTTTTAATATTTTCTTAAATGGAAACTTTTAAAATAAAATTAAATGCAAAAACTTGCATATAGAGCATCTTGTGTCCTTAAAGACAGCATTGTCTGTTTTGCATTTTACCATTTTGTTTCTTTCTAAAAGGTCAAAGTATTTGCAAATTAATGGATTTATTGGGCTGTTTGGTTTTTGTCATCATAACGAAAGAATAAATAAAAGTCACAAAACAATTTAAAATTAATATAATTGTACACAAAATATACCCAAACCTGCTTTACTGGCTCTGAAACTTAAACTTAATTTTTAAAGTGAACTTGACAGTTGTAAAGTATCATAACAGAACCATATTTGTAGTTGTATTGTATATTTTAATTATTTTTAATTTATTCATTTTATTTTTATCATAATTATATATATACTTTGCTCTTGAGATTACCAGAAATTCATCTCATTTCTCAGGAAGTATTTTTGTTAATTTAAAGTTTGATTTCCTGGGATTTTAGGATCTGAGAATCTCAAGGGCATAGTCCTATTATCAACCTTGACTAGTACTAAGATTAAAATATGCCAAGAATATATGATCTAAAATTATTATGTTCCAGATGTTTTAATTATTTTCAGATGTTTACTAGAGAAGAAAGCCAACTCCCCCTCACTTCAGCCACTTGTTTCCTATATAGACTATTCATAACAAAAATTTTAATATGTATACTTTCATCTGTCTAGTTCTAATAGAGGATTTCATGATGTAAACTAAGTTCAGGTCAATTTTGAAATGCATTTCCACACTCAAATCAATTGCAAAAAAACAGTTTTTATTCAAATCACACAAAAAACTTTCAGATTTTCCACTTCAGACGTTTCTCTCTATCAAAATCAAACAGAAATAATAATTGGATTTCAGAACAAAAAGATATTTTTTGTATCAATTGAATGTCATGATTTTTTTTTATTATTCATAGAAAAACATTCCAGTTCTATGGTTACATGGTTTCCTATGCTCACTCACCCTACTTGTTTCTAATAGACTATGCATAACAAAAATTTTGTGACGATTCAACTCTCTGCAAGGGACTTTCACTGTCACTTTGCTCTCTTTGCCCTATCTCCCATGGAATGGACTCCCAACACTTCCACCTCCACTTGCTTCACTCAACTCAACATCTTTCTTGCTTCTCTTCCCTCTCAGTCCAACATTCTTACTCCTGTTTGCTTCACTCTCCAATCCCCTCAGGCCAACCCATTCACTTCACTCTCCTTTGGGCTAACCCACTCATTTCATTTCCCTCCTTGGACATTCAGCTAAGTATTTTATACGAGGGGTGTTCAAAAAGTATCGGACCTTTATTTTTCCCACATAAACCAATGATGCATGGGAGGTCTCTTTCGGTGGAGTTGTGGAGGGGACAGTCATGCACAGTCCTGATTTTTTCCCACCTGCAGAAAGTGTCAGTCGCTGGCAGTCAGCCTATGAGTGAGGACATGTAGTGAGTGCTCGTTGGATTCCACTAACAAGGAGAGCCTACGGCTTTGGGGTAACGGATTTTGATGATCTTTGGTGTAGAGGTAGTACACCATGTGAGTGTACTACCTGTAAAATACTAAAGTGCAATACTCAAATATAATCGAGAAAATCGAACTTAAAGTTTTTTAGCACTTTATATATAAATTATACGTATTTCTATTTGAGCGTCCTGTGGCAGAGTGGTAACGAGTCTGATTCATAAGCTTGAGTTCTCGGGTTCGATTCTCGCGTATAATTTTTTTTTTAATTCATAAATACTTATAATGTATTTATTTATTTACTCATTCATTTATTTCTTATTATTTATTTATTTTAATTTAATTTCTACTATTCCAAGTCTAATATTTTTATACTTTTGTTGACAATAACGGCGCATTCTTGACACCTATGTGTCAACTTTCCCATCTAATTGTTATCACTAACGGTGACCGATCTAATTCTCACTAGGAGCGTTTTTTCTATCGGAGTTCTTTTTCACTCACTCTTTAACAGTTCGTTTCTAAATTTCGACACGAATAGACGTATTTGTGTAGTAAAACTTATTTTGAAAAATTATTTTATAATCAAAAAATGTCGTCAAGAGAAGCAAGTTCTTCACGTTGTGACGAAAAAACTGTTGATGATAACTCTTTATACAGTGATGTAAAATACTAACTTGTAAAGTGCAAAACTCAAATATAACCAAGAAAAACGAATATAATTTATTGAAGCAATATTATATAATTACATATCATTGTCAGATGTACATGATCGTGAATGATACTTATGATAAAAACATTCAAAACAAAAATTCTGTCTACACCAAGAACAACAAATAAATGCTGCTTTTTTAAAAGGTATCATCAACAGTTTTTTCGTCACAACGTGAAGAACTTGCTTCTCTTGACGACATTTTTCGATTATAAAATAATTTTTCAAAATAAGTTTTACTACACAAATACGTCTATTCGTGTCGAAATTTAGAAACGAACTGTTAAAGAGTGAGTGAAAAAGAACTCCGATAGAAAAAACGCTCCTAGTGAGAATTAGATCGGTCACCGTTAGTGATAACAATTAGATGGGAAAGTTGACACATAGGTGTCAAGAATGCGCCGTTATTGTCAACAAAAGTATAAAAATATTAGACTTGGAATAGTAGAAATTAAATTAAAATAAATAAATAATAAGAAATAAATGAATGAGTAAATAAATAAATACATTATAAGTATTTATGAATTAAAAAAAAAATTATACGCGAGAATCGAACCCGAGAACTCAAGCTTATGAATCAGACTCGTTACCACTCTGCCACAGGACGCTCGAATAGAAATACGTATAATTTATATATAAAGTGCTAACAAAACTTTAAGTTCGATTTTCTCGATTATATTTGAGTATTGCACTTTAGTATTTTACAGGTAGTACACTCACATGGTGTACTACCTCTACACCAAAGATCATCAAAATCCGTTACCCCAAAGCCGTAGGCTCTCCTTGTAAGTTGACTGAACAACGTGAGCAGTGATATTGCATCAAATTTTGCCAAAAACTTGGCAATACCCAAGTGGAAACCATCCACAAAATTCAGCAGGCTTTCGGGGACGATCCTCGAGGCCAAAAAAAGCGTGGCAGGTCCGCAGCAATGTCAAGGTCATGTTGCCAGTTTTTTTCGACTCTCGTGGGGTGGTGTATTGTGAGTAGCATCACAAGGCCAAACCATCGCAAAGGAGTACTACCAGGAGGTCCTTCATTGTCTTTGTGATGCTGTGTGACGCAAACGACCGGATCTGTGGTCAATCAAAAGTTGGCAGCTCCATCATGATAATGCACCCACCCATTCTGTGCATCTGATTCGGACTTCAGTCGCCAAACACAACATTCCTGTGGTTCATCATGCTCCGTATTCTCCCGACATGGCTCTGTGTGACTTTTGGCTATTTCCCAAGCTGAAAATGCCACTAAAAGGAACCCGATTTTAATCAAGAGAAGACATCATGTGGAATGTGACGGACCGGCTGATGGCCATTCCAAAAGATGCGTTCCAGCAGTGTTTCCAGCAATGGCAGGAGCACTGGGAAAAGTGTATACATTACCAAGAAGACTACTTTGAAGGGGATTAGGATTTTGTACCTCAAAATCAATAAATGTATTTTTGCCGACCAAAGGTCCGATACTTTTTGAACACCCCTTGTATATACAGGTAGATGTGTATCAGCAGTGGTTATGATAAGCACTGCAGAACTGGAAGCAGTCTCATGGAAAGATAAAAATCATAAAAATTGTCTCAATTTTTACTACAGTTATTATATAAATTATTATTTGTTAAAATTAATGTTTTTATTATTACAATTGAAACTGTATATAAAGTCAAGATGATTCTATTAGAGTTGTGTGTTGCATATCTTCCTGCAACAACAGCCTCATATTATAGAGCCAGAATCTGTCACTGATATGTAAATACATTCTGTAGCAATAATCTGCATGATCAATATACTTTTAATGATGACTATAAATCAAACTTAAATCAAAATAAAATATATATGACCATTAATTGATGGTCATATATATTTTATAGTTTATGTTTTCTCTGTTGTTTTTTATGCTCTTTGATTTAGGAAGGGATAATTACATAAAAAAAAATTTTGAAGACATTTGATTTAAAATATTTTTTTAAATATTAATTATCCAATATAATATAATTTATATAGTAGAAATTTCTTAAACTTTTTGATAATATGTATTCTGTTACTTAATGAAATATAGTAAATAAATTTTTAAATAATCTTTATTTTGTTTTTTATTTCTCGACATTCTAGTCTAATTTAGAAAGTTTCTTTTTGCATTTTTTTCTATAATAAAATTTATGTATTGTAGGTGGGCACAAAATATCGTACTGTTCAAATGGCCCAAACGTTTTCATCAGCTTTTCTTCAGCCACTTCTTCAGATGTCCCTTGCACCTGATCCAGCTGTACGTTTAGTTGTTCAGCAAATACTTCATACTTTACTCGATCGTCATGACAATCTTCCAAATCTCCTTGAACCATGGTATTAATTTTATCTTATATTATCTTTATAATTAGGTTTAATTTATAACATTTCAAATTTTTCAGTGTTATTGAGCCATTTCCCCAGTTAAATGTTGAAAAATGTTCAAGACAAGATTCAATGTTTATGAAGAAAGTTTGTCCAGAAATTTTATTACATATTTATGAAAATATTCAGTTAGGAAATAATTCTAAAGAAAACTTTAGTGCACTATACACTACCTTAGCTTTGTTATGTATTGAGCTTGGAAGCGAAGAAGCATTAATAGAATTGCTTCGCATTACATTTGCATTGCAGGTATGAATTTGCTCTAGGTTTTGTACATTATCTCCTTAATTTGCATTTTTGAAGATACAAATAAAAATGAAATTATTTGTTTTTAGGAATTGCCTTCTACAAACACTAGCATGTCTTCTGCACAGCGAATAGCTATTCATCATATTGTAGCTGGTTTCTTATATTTAATTGGACATCTTACAGCCATTCCTGCTTTGTGTACACATATTGATCAAGTAAGTAGTTGTTTTTCATTCATAGAGGTGAATTCTTCATATTCATGAATGCTTTCTTCTCTGATTCTTTATTAATAATATGAGTCACAGTGACTAATTTAATGTATTTAAAATAGTTTTTTCACCACCATCAAATGAATAAGTTTTTATAATTTATTTTATTTACAAAGTAAGCATTTAGTCTATATATAAATAGTGAAAATATATTTCAATCAATACAAAACATTCTTTAATCTTTCTTTAAAAACATTCAAAACTGTTTATGTTCCTGCATATATATATATATATATAATGTGTGTGTACATACATACATACATACATTAGACTCTATTTATTGTAATAAACAGAGTCTACTGTGTAGATGGATGTGTGATATGACAAGGAGGGACAGAATTAGGAATGATTAAATCAAAGAAATTGTCAAGCCGAGTCCTATAAGTAAGAAGGTGTTGGAACGTAGACTGAAATGGTTTGGACCTGTGGAGAGAAGAGGCAAAGAGTATGTTGGAAATAAAATTGGGAAATTAAGTGATAGAGGGAGGAGGAGACCGGGAAGGTCGAAGCCGAGACGAACCGACAAGGTGGCAGAAGATTCGAGAGGAGGAGGACGGAGGAGAGAGAGGATGCCACGGATATGGAGAAATGAAGAAAATGGATCAAAGATGGAAATGCTGACCGAATACAAACATGTGGGGGAGCAAAGATAAAGATGACTGTTTAATCATATTATATTTTCGTCTACTTTGGACATTCTTATGAACTAGGACTTGTTATATTGAGGGAAGAGAAAAAAACAATTTCCAATTAAAATATATTTATTGTAATGTGCTTTTAAAGACTGTTTAATCACTTTGGGATTTGCTTGAACTTAAACGTTATGCAAAGTAAATAAATCAAAATACAATTAGAGGAAATTCTGATATTTACTCTAATAAAATAAGGACATGGTTAAATAATTTTAAAATGTGTAACTTGAAGGCTTAATTATAATTATTATTAACTAGCAGACCCTGCTAGGCGTTGTTGTGGCTCAAAATGTATCTATTACACAGGTCAACAGTGATTTTGGTGCCCAGGTATTTTGAGCTGATTTCATATGAATTTGATGTCCTGAATTCAAATATGGCATTAGTTTTTGCCTAGGAGCTCTAATTTTTAAGATATAGCATTTTAGCGAAATATACATTTCAATATCTTAAGTTAAATCCATGGATCAAGTAAAAAAACTAAACACGGAATTTTTATTATTATATTATGCAAATATTATTCTATACAAAGATAGAGGAAAAAGTCATCAATAAAACTAAACAGTTACACATTGAGGAAGCTTCTTTTCCGTGACTTTCGTGAATGTATTTTGGAGCAATCCCTTTTTAAACTCCAGCAGTAATCTGCCATCATATGCGTATCCCATCTTCCTTGGTAGCGGTCCTCCATAGTTTTAATATCCTGGTGAAATCTTTCACCTTGTTCTTCACTGGTGTCTCCTAAATTTTCAGGAAAACGGTCTAAGTGACTGTGTAAATAGTGCACCTTAATACTCATATTACACCCAAGGAATTTGAAACTGTTAAGCATCTCGTTTACCAGTTCAACATAATTTTCAGCTTTGCGTTTGCCTAGAAAATTTCTGACAACTGCAACAAATGAAGTCCAGGCTTTTCGCTCAGCTTCATTCATCGAATTTACGAAGGCAAGATCGTTAATGAGTTGTCTTATTTGTGGGCCGTCAAATATTCCTGCTTTAATTTTTTCTATACTTAACTGAGGCATTTTTTCCCCTATATATGCAAAGCATGATCCCTTCTTATCAAGAGCCTTTACAAACTGCTTCATTAGGCCTAGCTTGATGTGCAGTGGAGGAAAGATGATTTTCTCTCGTTCAACTAAGGGGTCGTTAATGACATTTTTTTCTCCAACGTCCATGTTTTCTCTCTTAGGCCACTCTTTTCTAACCCAGTGGTGTGTTTTGTCTCTGCTATCCCAGAGGCACAAGAAGCAAGGATATTTGGTGTAGCCAATTTGCTGTCCAAGGAGAAAGTTTACCATTTTTAAGTCTACACAAATTACCCATTGATGTTCACGATACTTTATCTTCTCCAAGACCAGAGCTATGGTGTTATATTCTTCTTTCATTTTCGTTGAGTGAGCAATTGGTATTGAACCATATTTGTTCCCATTGTGTAGAAGGACACATTTCAAACTTCGTTTTGAGCTGTCAATAAATAGGCGCCAATCATCTGAAAAATATTCAAGAAGGCCCATTTTTTCCAAGAGTCCTCTAATTTCGTGACAAAACACAAGATTGTCTTCTTGAGAGAAGAAGGGTAGCAGATCCTTTTCTCTTGTACGGTAAAAGGTAATTTTGGTTCCTTGCTCCAGTAAATTTTTCTCCTTCAACCCAGAAGCCAATAATTCAGAAGCTTCTTTTGGCAGGTTGAGATCTCTGGTGAGGTCATTTAACTCATCCTGGTTGAAACATTGAGGAATTGATGACATTCTCTCGTAATCACAGTCACCTTCATTAGGATCAGAGGGATACTCATCCTCACAGAGCTCTGGTAGCTGGTGAAATGATGGAACTGGCACTTCCTGTGTGTGAGGGACCGGGCGTCTTGCAGAGTCTAAATCAGGATAAGTCCACTTGCTACGGTTGTTACGATTGATTCCGTTAATATTTACTAGGCAGAAATAACAGTCATCGAAGTGATTTTTGGGTTCTCTCCAAACCATCGGTACGCCAAATTTCAGACTTTTTCTTTTCCCAGTAGTCCACTGTCGTAAATGTTCTGTACAAGTTTTACAGACCTGATGCGGTGCCCAGCTTTTATCCTGATCACCAAGTTTAACACCAAAGTATCCAAGATAAGCTCTCTTTACAAAGTCACTAATAGTTTTTCTGTTTTCTTTTAACGTATATTCTCCGCATATGTAGCAAAACACATCAGAATGATTTACACAACTTCTTCTATTTGAACTCATTTTATTTCTATTCAACAACACAAATAAAAGCATCTAGAACACAGTACTTTGTTCTTTGTTTCCCTTTCTTTCTAGAACTTTCCTTTATAACCCTTTTCCCTTGGGGTGGGATTAACAATTCTTGGAACCACTGAGAACAAAGAGATGAATGAAGTCCTGATGAAAGAGGAGAAAGGACATTCTTTACCCAGACCTTGAGGTGGATAGACATGAGTTGTGTTCCAAGTCGCGTTTGGCAATGATTGGAAAGTACAAGAGACTTTGATGAAAGGATCAGGTTTTATTGTGGTTACGACGAAACAGTGTGACAATTAAATGTATACATTAGGGGGCATAAGAATTTTAGAAAGGCTTAGGTGGGGCATAGCACCAAAAAGGTTGGGAAACACTGATCTACACACTGCACAGCTAGAACTTACAAACTTACCTCAACTCTAGTTGAAGCACTGAACATCAATTTGTTACCGAATGCTTACTTCATTTGGTGGATTTACCTGGAACTAACTGGACGGCAGACTAACAATGGGGAAAATATACAGGAATTAATTCTTGCATATGTGATTTTAGAACTATACAAACTGGAATTAGAGCATCACATTTCATGTAGCACTGTACATTAAAAAAACACAGATCTAAAAAAGTAGAGCTGATAGAGAAAAACTGATTTTATATTTGGATTCAGTGACCCAAATATAGCTAAAATCAGTTCTAAAATCCTAGGCACCAAAAAAAAAATTTTTTTTGTAGGCTTGTGTAATTGATATGAGATAAAATTTATCATGCATATTCTGATGACATGTTTCTCTGTAATACACTTATAATTTGAAGCATTTTGAAAATGACCAATAAAATGGCATACAATTAACTCTTGTACATAGCACAATGAAATTTACACAAATAAGGTTGTTATTCCTGCTGCTGTTCTTTTTTTGAATAGTTTTTACTCTTGAGTCATACCTTAAAGCTTTGGCTATAAATGAGCATGTCTTATCCAAGAAAGTCAACATTCCTTTACAACTTTCACTTTTGTAGCTTATACATGAGGGTAGCCTATAGCCAAAGTTGTAGAGTAATAAAAAATATTATGCCAAAAGACCATTTTTCAGATTCTTCACCCACATGGATTTTGCAAGCAAACCCCATTTATATTCAGTATTTCAATAACCATAGTAATTGTTATATAACACCTACCGCTGAGAATGATGAGAATTGCTGAGAATCAAATGAACTATTTTCAATTTGATCAATTTTCTGGAATGTTTACAGTTGTTCTATAATCAAACCAATATGCAATAACAAATTCGAATTTAAAACAGTTCGAACATTTGGTTAAAAAATCGAAATACAGTGGTACCTCAGGATACGAAATTAATCCGTTCCGAAACTGAGATAGTATCATGAAAATGTCATAAGGTGGATCATCTTTTCCCATACGATTACATGTAAAACAAAATAATTCGTTTCAACGCGAAAAACATACTCAAATTAAAGCCAAGTAATACATTAAAAAAAATAACTGTAGTAAGAAAAACAAATGAAAAATGTGAACTAATGTAACGTCATATGGTGAGTTTTTGTTCGTATCGTGGAGCAAAAATATGTTCGAATTTCATGTCGTATCCTGAAAATTTCGTATGCTGGGGCGTTCGTAACCTGAGGTACCACTGTATATAAAAAATATAATGTCTGAAATGTTATAAATTTAATACACCTAAGTACTCAACGAAGACTAAGCATAGGTGAAACAAAAAATCTCATCTGAAATAGTACAGTAAAGGCTGTTCTTCAGGTTAAGACTTAATCCTCTCCCACTCCCCCATGGTGGGAATTTTGAAAAATCCCTTCTTTTGTGTGTGTTTTCATGACATACCCTAACTGTGTACCAAATTTCACCTCTAGGTTCAGCAGTTTGCTCTGGGAGATGATGAATCAATCAATCAGTTAGGACAATTAATTTTATATATTTAGATAAATTTAAAAAATTTATTTTTAATTTATCATATCATATATATGTTTGCATATGTACTAAGCAAATATGTACAGTAAGTTTTATTTTATGCAAGATTAATCTATGTGAATGTTTTTTGCATATGGGAATGGTTAGTTCTTAAATGCACAGGAATAATTGACAATTAATGCACATGTTTTATTAATTTTATCATAAAATTCATTTTGGGGCATAAGTAATGGAATAAAAATTGGAAGAAATTTTTAGGACCTACTTTTTAAGAAAAAATTATCAATAATTTTTAATTTTATAGAATGAAAATAGAAGGTTAACATAAGAAAGCAGAAGAAAAATGTGTTTGTACAGTATATGAGTTATGTAAAAACTTTTGATATTACACAACAAAACTAAAACCACGATGGAAGAGGATTTCAAACATACTTAAGTGTTTTTCTGTTAACTATAAGTGACTGCATAAATATCTAGGAATACTAGGGGTGAGGCACCAATTACATTTAATTTCATTTTACATGGTGTTTGCTGACACAATCCCTGCATAAAACAAAACCATATTATACAACTTCTTTGAACTTTTTACTGTAAAATGAAATTATAAAATGTTTCCAATATTGTAAAACAATGTTCCTTTTTAATCTTATAATAATCCTTGGTGGGAACAGAGGAAAAAATAATACTAAGTTTTTTATTCTTCTTAATAAATAGCATGATACTTTAATGTCTCGGCTGTAATAATTTTTTAAAAATCTTCATTTATTTGAAATATTGGGTAAATAATTAAGTATACCTACAGTTCTCTACTATTGACTTCTTGCATGATTTTGTTTTCTTCTCTCAATAATTTTTTTTTATCTTAAGATATAATTTTAGGTAGAGTAATGCATATTTATACTTGTATTGATAAGACTATGTAGAAAAACTGGAATGACATCCAACTCATATTACAGGAAATATGGAAATAATAAAGCAAAAATCATACAGATTTTAAAATATTAGAAATATCCTAAAGAGAGAACTTGTTTTCCTTGTCTATCCTGTTTTGTACTTTAAAGAAAAAACATTATTTTATTAAGTGTAAAAGTAATATGATATATTGAATGTAATCTTTATAATCAATGGTTTTTATGGTTTTTAACATTTTCTGCAACTTGCACATCTTAAAATTTAAAATATGCTCTCATGCTCATGTAAAAAAAATCCATTAAGTTTTTTTATTTATTTAAAGGAATAGATTTGTCTCAGTTTCTCACATGTATTTTAGCCTAACTTTATGTACAGCATAAATGAATTTCTTTGTTACAACTGTTTTTATATTGATGAATAAGTTAGGGATTTATAATAAAACAAATTTGTAACTACATTCTTAATTTGATATTTATACATTTTTATTAAGATCTTATTTTAGAAAAGACAGTTTTCAATGAAAAATGCACCAAAATATTTTTAAAATTCGGCCAAAGAAAAAATTAAATATGGACTCAAGAAACGGATTTGTTTATCAATATTTAAACACACTCAAAAAAAAATAACATAAGTACTAAGTTACTAAGAAAACTTATCAAATTGATAAATGATTTTAAGGTTGTTGTAAAGTAAATAATGATAGTTTTTCAAGAAATGTTTCATTATAAACTCTGATCATATTTTTATTACTAATTTTATATATATATATATATATAATATTTAACACCTTATAAGGTTATAAGATGTTAAATGTTTTATTAAGTGTTTTAAAAAGAAGCTGAGTTTGATATTTAATTTAATATATATATCTCTAATGCAAAATTTGCATTCTAGGTTACTGCTATAAACTTGTCTCAGAGTAAAAAGTTATTAAAAATTTACTTAAAAACATATTCATAACTTTTAAAATAATGCTTTAAAATCAATAAATATTCTAATGTTTTGATATATCTTTCAGATAGATAATTTACTACATCAGATAGCATCCAAAGGAGGTTATGATTATGCACTGCCAGTTAATGTTCATATTCCAGTAATAGATGTGAAAAATTAGGTGAGTATAATCAATGATTTTGGCATCTAGATAAGCTAAAAAGCAAATGGAATGTTGAAACACAAAATTATATATATATATACACACAAGTATCTCTTGTATATCACAGTAGTTATGTTTCGAAAAAGTGCTGTAATGTTAATCTGTGCTATGCAAAACAAAGGACTAGTGCAGGGGTTGGCAACCTTTTGAGTCGGAAGAGCCAAAATTACAATTTACAAAATTTCAAAGTTTTTAAAGCCACAAAATTTTTTCTTGCCAACAATAAATAGTACTCGCATAAATAAAGTTTTTTGATAAAAAAAAAAACTAATCTATTTATTCATATATAGTTAGTGTTTTTCACAACAAATTAGATAATAGAAACATCGGATGACGGCGTCATTCGAGAGCTTCTGACGGACTGACGACAGTGACAACGCGTGTCACGGGGGAGGGGTGCGGTGAAAAGCGAGTACAAGTGGCTGAGAGATAAACAGTGCCTAATCCTCGTTAATCCATTCAGAACGATTTTTAAATGTTTTTTTTTGATAAAATAAATAATATTTGCGTATGGAACTAAAGAGCCACAGCTTCACATCCAAAGAGCCGCATGTGGCTCGCGAGCCGCAGGTTGCCGACCCCTGGACTAGTGCAAAATGTGGGATTAGGTTCCAAAAGTATACTATTCGTTTTCATTACTAAGAGAAATATGTTTATGAAAGCAATCAATAATTCACTTATAATCAATAATAAACTAACAATCACAATTAAAAGTATTGTTTGATGCATTCATATTAATATTAGTTAAATGAGGGCATTTTTACAAAGTATCATCATCATCTGAGCTTTTTCTGTTGACCTTGACAGATATATCAACATCATTTTCATTTTTTTATTTTTATCATAATTTTTTGTGGATGACAAAATAAAAATACAAATATGTTATTAATTGAAAATTTGTTCTAGAGTCGTGTTTGTTCAGTCAAGTAAGAGTTTTTTTTTTCCCTCCAGCATTTGTGTTCAAATACCAAGATACTACTGTATTTCATTTGTAATTTTTACAAATGAAATAATCATTCATAGCTAAGTAATACCTGCAGTTAAAAAGAAAGCTTAATAACACTTGCTTAAAATGTTTAAATAAACTTTACTAAATGCAAAGATTAATCTATAAAAAGAAAACAGTGACAATCTTAAGGGCTAAAGTCTGAAAGCAACAACAATGACATGTTGATAGTGCAATTTTTTCTTCCTTGTTCTAGCTTTTCTATCAGTTTTCATTAAAGTAAACCTGACAAAAGGCACAAAACAAATTGAAAATTTCAGTATTCTAAAATCTATGGAATGGACAAATTTGAGACATGTATGCTTATTTGAATAAAAAAGTTCTGAATAACAGAGGGTATGTTCGTAAAGTCAAACAAGTTAAACATGTTAGTAACGAATCGTTCAAAAAGTAGTAGTGCTCTGCAGTGATGATGTTTCAAACGAAACTCTAAGCTCACAAAGAAAAGAGTTAGTTTACTTTGTTAAGAAAATGGCTCCCGATGATATCGATGTTTCTAAATCTACTTGAGTGTTTAAATTGTGAATTAAAAGGTGAATGATTGAAATAACTGTCCACCTGAAGGAATCTAAGAAAAATATTTCAGATAAGGCTGTACTAGCAACATTTGTATCTTCGATTTTAGAAACAGCTATTTAGTTAGACTTTTCGAATGATTTGTTTATAACGAAATAAGAATAACAATGACATCATTCTCATTTAACTCATTTGACTTTACGAATGTACCCAGAGTTTACACTTAAAAATTGTGAAATTTTGTACAGAGGATTCCAAAATGCATTGTATAAGTGCCATGTTGTATGAAGGATACTTGTATATATCTACTTGATTATTAAAATATTATATTTTCTTCTCAAGTAAAGTTTTATAAATTATTTAAAAAGCATAATGTTGTTGTTATTTTTATTAATCTAGTCATTATGATATAAGGTGTACTGGTCTTTAAATGAATAAAGTTCAAAAGAATTTTATACATTTTATTTTTTCATTTGCTTTAATTTTGTTTGCCCAATTAATAATTATTTGTTGCAAGTATGCATATTGGGTGATTGTAATTAATGTGTATCTATTCAATGCTGTCTGGAGAGATATTTAGCAATTCAAATGCAACCAAAGTTTGCATGGTGACATTTCAGGACATTATTGACATTGATACCAAAACTCACCATTATGGCACTTTTGGTGCTACAAGCAACAAACATTGTTTGTACAGGACCCTCATGCTATACACAGAGCTGTCTAGCATGAATATCTTGTGCAAATAGTATTCAACAGCTGACCAAAATTGATTCTGTGTCATGTTTTTCACATGCAGTGTGATACTGTTTTTTTAAGGTTGCCAAATTTGCAACACATTCTAGATAAATCACAATTTTTAAGTATCCCCAGAACCAAAAATCACAAGGATAAGATCGAAAGAACTGAGGTGCCATGTGATAGGAAACACAACTAATCACTTAATTATCGGTGAAATATTGTCACAGAAACTGCTGTATGTAATGTCCAATATATGAAGGTGCTTCATCTTGCATGAAAGAAGTTGCATCAAGAGACTATTGCTGTTACAGTCAGGATATGACAAAAGTATTGAGCCTCTCCCATAATGGACACAGACCCATTGGGACTAGCTTCTTTAAAGCAAAATGTATTTAAGAATAAATGTGGCTGTGAATCTACATCACGCTGTAACTGTTAGGTGAGTACAGTGGAATTTTCTGAAAAACAGAGTTTTCTGTGGTCTGAATTTGACAGTTATGGATGTTTACTGTTTTATTGAGGTGAAAATGTGCTTTGTTCCTCCAGAAGATCATCTATGATCATGACACATCCACATCATTCTGACAGAGTCAATACAAAGATCAGTCAAGTTTTCTTGCAAGTAACTGCTAGTTGTGACTGATGTAGAATGTTTTGTTAATAGTAAAATATTTCCAAGACTACATTTAGCATTCAACTTCTACATTTACCAATAGATTCTGAATTAGTGATTTTAATTTGCTATAATATAGTAATTTATAAATTATGAAAGATACTTTTCATAAAATATTTTCTGTATAATTTTTCATATTATTATGGTGATCTCCAAAAACTGTATAAAAATTGAAATTAAGGTGATTTTTTGAGAATATTTAGCAACTTAAATAGTGAAAATGAATATATTTATCATCACTTTTAAAATATTAAATATTTGGATTGTTTAAATCAGTGTTACCCAACTTTTCCATTGGCAGACCAAATCGAGCATAAATTTTAGTTAGGTAGGCCACAAATAATTTGTATATTTCATATATAGCAAAAGTACGTCTATTTCTATAAATACAAATGTTTGCAGGCTGGATTTGGCTTGGGGACTGTAGTTTGGGCAATTGGGCACAGCTAGTTTAAATAGCCAAAACTATCAAATAATCTTAATTGTGGTCTGAAGTCAAATTTTGTAATTTAAAAATTTCTTAATTATTTTTCCAATCAATTATTTTAACTTTAAAAGATTTTCAGTTCTAGAAATATTTTAATAAATAGTGGATTGCACACATCTAGATTTAATGTATTGTAAATATTAGTAATGAATGTGTTAAAATTAATTTCAAATAAATTTCTTTTTTAGATAAATTTCAGTGACTTGTATTAGAAGAGTGTTGTTTTTGTATTTTGGCTGGATTTAAGTTTTATGGATTGGATCAAACCATAGTTGCAACACAAATATGGGAGTCAAACATGTGGAAGCAGCTCTCCTTCTATCAAAATCTGTAAATATGTGATATTTTATTGGGACAGTTAATTCTTGTAATATGTAAAAATGTTCTTCATTTCTTCAGTATTTGAAAAAATGAGAATCGCTTTTATATTTTATTGTGAATACAACCTTTTTAGTACTGTCAGAATGAAATTTTCATGTTTTATGTAAGAAAACACAATTTTATAAAAGAAAATTGTGCTGATCTGCATTTTTTTTAAAACATACTTGAATTATTTTTGATATGAATATTTCATTGTAAATTCTCATTATAGATTAAAGAAATTTTATAATTGATGTCTTTGTTTTTTTTTTTTTAATACTTAAGGTGCAAATTGAATGTTACATATTTAATTTTATATAACATAGTACCTGAATATCTTGTTTAATGTGTGATTCCTGTTTAAGTTAGTGTGATTTACTGTATACATACCAAAAATTCAATTCATAAGATTCACTACACAGTAGAGTCTTGGAAACTCAACTGTTGATAACTTAAAATTACTTAAAACTAGTCATGTCATCCAAAAAATAAAGGTAAAAGCTAGATTACATATATAACTTAACACTAGGATCAAATAAGTTATTGTTCTTCACTGGTGACACTTGATAATAGCATTAATTACATGTGTTATATAACAAAGAATATAATCCTTTTTCCAAGATGTCACTGCAAAATGCTAAGATGCAAATGTCACTAACACAAAGTCATCACTAAATAGCTAATATGTTTTCTATTAAAATTTAACTACAAATAGAAATAGTCAATATTGATTCTTAGTTAATATATATATAAGAATTTAAACATATAATACCTTTATGAGAATTCTGCTATTACTGATGTAAAACTTTTCAGTAACTTGTCACCTTCTCAGTCCATGTTGACTTGTTTTGTGAAACTATTGTAATGCGGTCACTGTCAACCTAATATAAGAGAATCTAAGTTAAAATTTAAGAAAATGGTATAATTATTAGGTTGTTCGAAAGTAACTTCGTTTTTTTACCACTAGACGGATTAGTCGTACTTTTCCCGTCATTTTCATTCTAAACCGTATTATCATTATATATTTTGACAGCTAGCTAAATTTTAAGGCTTATTTGTAAAAAATTTTGTTTGATTTTGTGCAATTGTTTATTTTTTGTCCCATCAAATATGGAAGATAGAAAGCAGCATTTTCGGCATATTTGCTTTTTTATTACCAAAAAATCAAAATGCTGTTCAAGCAAGAAAAAATTGTGGTACATGTATGGAGATGATGTGTTGAGAGAAAGACAGTGCCAAAACTGGTTTACAAAATTTTGTTCTGGCAATTTCAATATTGAAGATGCACCATGTTCTGGATGGCCAGTTGAAGCCAATGAAAACAAAATAAAGGTACTGATTGGAGCAAACTGCCGAATAACAACACGTGAAATCACTAAGAGATTAAATTTGTCAAATTGAACTGATTATGATTACTTGAAACAAATTGGTTTCGTTTCAAAGCTTGATATATGGGTTCCACATGTTCTTAGATGCTCTCTTTGGTGGGATTTTAAGGAAATTTTTTTTTGGAGCTTTACCAGACAACTTAAAATTGATTCAAAGTGTACTGCCATCGAGTAAACAAATTGAGTAATGTCATCAAGAAGAAAAGGCAGCCAGAATTGATCAACAAAACAGGTGTAGTGTTTTACCTACACCTGTTTTGTATTAGAATCATTAGAATTTGTATTAAATCATGTCAAATTTCACACAAGTTTGGTAACTCATCAGAAACTGTTATAACTTAGATTGGACATGCTATCACACCAACCATACTCACCAGATTGAGCACACTCAGATTATTACTTGTTCCGGTCTATACAATTTTTTTTAACCGTAAAACATTTACTTGAAATGATAATGTCAAAAATCACTTGGATCAGTTTTTTGTAAGCAACGATCAAAACTTTTATGAATGTGAAATCATGCTACTACCAGAAATGATGACAAATGGTTGCTAAATAATTCAATAAAATATTTATTTATTATAAAAATATTGTTTTTTTCCACAGAAAAAAAAAATTACTTTCCAAACAACCCAATAATTTTTTAAACTGTGTTAATTCACTTTTAATCACAAACATAATTTTAAAACATGCTATTAACTTAAAGTTATTTTAATAAGTTACATAATGCAGTACGTATCATTTTAAAAAAGACATTTGTAGATGTAAGCACCTATTAACTATTACTGTGTACTTACTATAAATGGTACTAAAACTATTTTATTATATTATTGTCAACTAAGGACTTATCATATTAATAGGACTATTATACTGGTGTGCCAATTTTTGCAAAGGAGGAATACTTATTCAGAAAAAAAAAAAAATTTATTTTTCACCACATTGCAAAAATCAGCACACCAGTATAATAATCCTACTAATATGATAAATCCTTAGTTGACAATAATATAATAAAATAGTATAATATAAGAACATAAAGGCAATTGAATTAATGGTATTAAAACTATTTTATACTACTAGTGGCATGTTGCCAATTTAGCTTGATGCAAGCCTTAGCAAGATGACCAGCTTCTCACCTCTCATTATCAAGTCTAAATTGTATGGCACCAGAAGGTGCCATACAATTTAGACTTCATTAAACGTATGTTTTAAAAGATTACTTGTAGCACAGTTTTGTATGATGATGCAAATGAAGAATGCAATATTTGTGCAAAAGAGGATTACAAAATAATTGGTACTACCAAGAACTTCATGCAGAAAAGGTGAGGTGAGTCCAAACATTGGATAATTTTTTTTTTATATTAATAAAAACATTAAAAATTTACTTGTGAAGTAAAATAAAGATGCTATTAAATGTAAATTATATACAGGATTCCTACTCAAATTTTTGTTTTAAATTCCATGACTTTCCCTGACTCTCATGTCCCTTACAATATGGCACATTGAAAAAATAAAACAGCATTTGAATTACTATGCACATATTCTATTGCTTCTCCAGATTTTAAATTAGTTGTTTTTTCTAATTAACAGTTATATATTTTTTATAATTGCCAAATTATTAAAACAAAATAAAATGTTTTATTAAATGAGCAATTATTTATTATGACATTGTTGCAATGCCGAGTTGCAATTTTTAGTTATAATCTTAATTTATTTAAAATATATGTTCATATCAAATTTTTAGTGACCCTATACATCAGGGGTGGCCAACCTTTTGCATACCATGCGCCAATTTTTTGATAGACGAGTTCAGATGCGCAGTGGCATACCATGAGTGTTAGCCGCCTGGAGTGGAGAAAAATTTTGGCCACCCCTTAATTAGGTATTTCAATTTATAAGACGAAAATTCAGTTTTGCCACAGAACAAGCAATGAAAAATGCGGTTGTAGTGTAGTTACCCGTATAAAATAGTTCTTTAAGATATTAGTGGTGTACATGAACACGAATGTATCGTGTACCATACAGGCAAAAAAAAAAAAAAAAAAAAAGGTCAACAGGTGTCGCAGGAACTACTCGGGAAAAGAAGTTAGTAGTCTAATCCGATTCCGATTCCCGGACAGTCCGGACGGTAGCACTATCGTGGGACGTTAGCACTGTCATTTAGACACCTGTAAACTGATCGAAAATAAACATACATGCATACACTGTAATTTACTATGTGGAGAACACTCATTTTATCTGTAAAGTTGATTGCAACGAATTGTGCAACAAATGAACTTGCCAAGACAGACTATAAAAAATTAATTT